TGGCCCCGGTTTCAAATAGCAACTCCGTAAACTTTCTCTCGACTTCACAGTGGCCGGGGAGAAGTTCAGCCTCAGTCCACTGTATTCCGGGCAAGTTGAAATCGCCCATGAGTAGGAACATCTGACGACTCATGTGGTTGCGGACATGCGGCAATCAGTCCAAACAGCAGCTCAGTGGACTGCGATATACCACGCTCACGAGCATCTCGCAGCGTCTGAGGTGAATCGAACACCATAACTGCTCACATAGACCATCAGCGCTTTGGTAGGCGCTCACTAGTCTCCCACACAAGGAAGACTTTATGTAAAGTAGAACGCCACCGCGATCATTTGATGGTCTATCACAGCGGAAGCATGAGTATCCGGTGATTTCCACTTCTTGGGCGGTTACCTCGGAGTTTAAGCATGTCTCAGCAAGGCCTAAAACGTATGGTTGCTGAGAACTTACAAAGTCGTACAGCACATCGCGCTTGTTCATCAGACTGCACACGTTAGTAAAGGCTACGCGCAGACCGCGGTAGAAACCGCTGGGCGCGCCTGAAGCATTCGAAACCTGTTGATCCGGATTCGTGGAGAAAGCCGGGTAACTACCCGAAAATTTACCATACGGAGATTTGTTTCTCCATCCACCGTGCGTCGCTTTAGTTCAATCATAGCAGACTTGAGTTTCTCTCTGTCTGCCGGGTCTAAGTCAGCGCGCATGTGGATCTTTAGACCCTACGGCTTATTAAGATGGGACAATAGTAACTTGGGACTTGCTTCTTCGACAAATGTCACCCTCATGGCCCAACTTTTGCCCTCCATTCTCTTTCCTAGACGGGCGATCTGCTGCACTTTGAAGCCGCGCTTTATTTACATTGAGTAGCCTATCAATCAATGATTGCAAAGCTCGACGTCATGTTCATAGCGCACCTGAGGATTGGAATCACCTGATTCAGGTGCGTGAAAGACTATGAGGCTACGGCGCCTCAGGTCGCTAGATAGTGCTCTTGGTTTCTTCGGTGTTTGCACTTTCCATTCGTTATCCTCAATTTGCTTATTGCAAATTGAAGCTTTCCTGTCAACAGAACACATTGTAGGCCTTGAGGGAGAGCCTGATGGAAGTTTAGTACCTCGCTTCCGGGATGTATGCGATGTTGTACTAGGCGCTGGCTGCTTCGCTGACTGTGATGTAGCACGAGGCGTGCTGGGCATTTTAGAGCATTTCATTGTACTGATCCGCTTGTTAAACGTGTCGGTTCTATTCTTAACAAGTCTAGCTTGGCACTATTTACAAACGGTCTTCAAAAATTCGTTCTGAATGCCCAGAATTACACGAAATTGGTCTACAGCCAGACCAATGCACGAAATATGAAGCTTTACACTGCAGCGACTGCATGTAATCGCATTTGCTCGATGTCCAACGACTTTGCAGCGATGGTTCACAGATCAAAGATGATGCTGGATAGCTCATCTTCTGTAAGTTTAGGTAGGTGAATTGTGAGTGTCACACTAGTTTCAGTGGAGCTACAAAATGCATGTTTCGAAGCTACTTCTTAGTCAGTAACCATTGTTTTATCCAGTAGCACAATTGACTTAATGGGTATCACATTAGGAGAGCTCCTCTGCTTTGGTAAATTAGGAAGCGGTTTTGTCGGAGTTGCGCTTAAAATCGCGCTTGTCTCCTGTGCTGACTTCATCGTAGACTGCTTATTTCTCCATTGTTGCATGGTTTGATTGATATGCATAAGGAGATGGAAGTCCTTTGTTTTCTTGTATTTGGATCCCATCATTTTGAGTTTGACAGGCAGTGTCTTTCGCTGCGGTTGCTTGAGAGCGTGGTCTACGTCCGCTTTGCTTTGTTACGAGTATATCCAAGCGGAATACAATTTTGCTGTACAGTTCGTCGGTGACTACATCAATTTGTTGCCAAAAAGAAACTATCCCAATCCATGGATCTGAAGTGATTGGTGAACCTGTTCCAGTTAGTATGATGGAATGATCGTTAGGCAGTCACTAGTCTTGTAGGGCAAATCTTCACTCTGTTTCTCAAAACGAGAGCTCCATTACCTTCTGGTCTCTACCTTGGATAATCTCTAGCACACTCGCGGGAGCAATGGATATTATTGTTGGTGGTCTGAGTGTTCGCTGAGCGCAGCACTTTGACTGCAAACGTTTCTTCACCACCCGAGGTGAAATCATCAGTGCGTGTTTATTTAGCAGAGCGGCGCAGTACGAAGCGTCAGTGAGTCTGAGTGCTCGATCTTCTAGCCTTTAGTCTGAGTTGAAATTGTTCGACGAGCACACAACCACCGAAATCGAACTCTGATTCTCGCCTCCTAGCGTACGTGCGCGTGCCTCTCCGGTTGTCGTCGTTTGACGCAGTTGTCTGGGGTACTGTTCCGTTAGATTTAATCTACTAATTCGGTGATCTTCCATCCGTTGCGCTGTATATATTGCATCTATTTCAACGCGTCGGTTTATTGAATTGTCTGTAGAATACCATGCTTCCAAGAACTCTCCAGCTTGCCCCGAATTTCCACTGGCTAGGATCTTTACGTTCTCTAGGCTGAAGTGTTGGCCTTCTTGGTCTTCATTTATGGAAACCAGTGTGTGCAGGTCGTGTCTCCGTATGGCCATTCCGCGTTGTTTGATCCGTGCTGAACGTTTTCTTCCACTTTGTCCGATGTAATGTTTGTCACGTTCTTTGCAGTTAATTTTATAGATTACATCATTCTGACTGTTTTGTTTGACTTTGTCCTTCGGTCTTGAAAGCAATCTTCGCGAAGTACTAGTTGGTTTGTGGGCTACCAAGATTCTATGTGGTCGTAACAATTTTGATGTTAATTTAGACAAATCCTTGATGAAAGGAAGCGGTACCCGTTTATCTACTTTTTCCCGCTGTTGTTGATGCGCGCTGTTCAATATCAGAAGCCAGCATAACTTAGCACTGAAGATCAAGTTGAATAAGCTTAGGAGAAATTCTGACCACCAAACAAAAGGAGCAAAAACTTGTCTAGCCATCAACTTTGCACAACGGAGGAGAACATACTAATCAAAGGACTAAAATCTAACCCCAAAGATACATGATATAAGGCTTACTTGGCTAACCTGGAACAGGTTTTGGACACAAACGGACTGTCAGAAGAATCGCGGTAACAAGTTATACAAACAGTTGTCCCTGTGATAACTCGCAACAAGTCCACATATTCTCTTGCAAAAGTAGGACGGGAAGCACTCAGAAGGCTACAAAATGAAGACAATATCGTAATCCTACCGGCAGACAAGGGACCCATGGCAGTCATAACGGATAAACGAGATTACGCTGCAAAGGGCAAACAATTCCTTTCTGGCACTACCACCTATCGCTTTATAGATCAGGACCCTAGTAAGAAACTGATTACTCAAATCAACACAGAATTGACGAAAGTACAAGCAACGAGTAAGCTTATCAAGCAGGAGCGATGGAAGATGAAAGCTGAGGACACAAACATTGCAAGGTTCCATGGACTGCCAAACGCACACATAGACGGAATAATGCAGCTTATTTTCGCCAACCGAATGAATTGTAGCAGCGACAATGCTAAAGAATTCGCACGAAGTCTTGTGCGACTGGTGACATATTTTCCTAAAATAGAGGTAACTGTCAGCCCTGATTTAGTAATGGGTTTGATTCACATCCAGCTAGAGTATGGCCATTTCGCCTTTTTGGATGTCCCCTTGACAAAAATCGCAAGAGGCAGTCTGTCTGCTGAAAAGCCACTTTGGCAGGAATATAAGAGCAATTCAGTAGCCTCATACATGTTCGGTACCAACGCTGCCTAGTAAAAACACTGTTTCACCGAGCACCTAGATTATACAGCCCGGAATGTTTAGGTACTGGGTTGCCATTTAATACACAGACGCTACGGGCAAATGGCTACCTTTCAACCTTTATTATAAGAGATAGGAGATATCAAAAATGCCTCCTACTGTGTCAAAAATGCCCGCCGATGTTCGGTTTCCTTTCAAGGGAGATGACTCGGTAAAGCAAATCAAGGGAACTGCTGCCACACAGTTTGACAAACATTCATTGCTGTCTAACTGCGTCCGCTTTGTAAAACAGTTAACTTACCGACGCTTCCGTTCAGGTTTACCTAACCAATTTCCGCCACAAAACATTGCATTTGTCACTTTGACTGCAGCTACGTAAGCAGTTTCATCGGCATGACAGATCGGATCGCAGAGCATATTCCAATTTGGGTTGATGCCGCTACTAGAGGTCAAACACAGAGTGAGGCGTTAAGCTCCAAAATGCCAACCTCATCGATTGCTAGGCTAAGTGCAAGTTATCAAGACGAAAGGGATGTAGCGTTTACGATTATATACCGCAATAGTAACGTCGAAACACTCAGGTTGTCCGAGGCTGTAGGCATTAATCGCAATCCATCGGAACTTGTGGGTCAAAACAGCTGACTGTCGCACTCAAGCTCCCCCCGTTTCACAACTTGTGAATCTGCGACGGCTTGTCTTCATGTCCCTTCTTCTATCAGCAATCAAATCATTGACCCTTTCCCACAGTACTCGTTTAGTATGTTGCGAGGTTGCATGGGATCAGAAAGCACGAATGATATCATCTTACAACACACATCTCAATGTTATTGTTTAGAATTTTTTATCGACAGTCTATGTGAGGTGGAAATGGGTGTGTCAGTTGAAATTGCCACAAGTTTGAGTTGTGCTTGCTGGACACAGTTAAACTAATGAATCTAGATTACCACGTAGTAAACAAATGAAATAGCACCACTTCATAGGTAATCACGGTTGACTTCAACGGAAATGTCATATGACACTCACGTTGCCTTGCATGTTTAGGTCGCCCTCGGTCATCGGATATGTGCACTCCTCAGCCACAAGAAGTATGCTGATGAGTTCCAGGAAGACACCTAGACCTCAACCATTAACTGAAACAATAAAACTGGTAATACATGTGGATTTAATAGGAAAGTACTCATGAATCTTGGTCTGTCCTTCCGTTTTAGGCGTCACAAGCCTCACATATGCTGCTCTCATTACTGCGCGCACAATGGAAGCTCATCGGACCACGACTTGTTGCAGACGATCCACCGATAGTGACCAATACAAGCGTGGCCGTTATCAGTATGGCTCTGATGACATTAGGCCAGAACCGTTCCCTTTCGATGCCAATCGGCCATACCGGATCCAAAGTGGTAGTTCCTGATCTATGTTTAGTAGTGCAAAGGTTGGGTGCAGATTGCCGGACGGCAGTCACCGTGCAGGTGAGAGGACAACTATCTTTACTCGATTTTTCGTGCAAAATCAGTCGACTATCATCCTGCTGAATAAATAGTATCATACGTCATAAGGCAAGTTGAAATTCATTTATGGTCATGCAAGGGGTGAACGGCAAAAGTGCAGTGGGTCGGTAATTCTACTGTATAACTTCACCCCTCGTCGAAAACAGAAGGAATCAGTTGGTGGCTTAAATGTACCTAGTCAACATAACTCTTATTGTGTATACTAGACGGGTTATGAATTGTAAAACATGTTCCAGTGCTATAGCCTTTCGGGTAAATGGCATAACCAGATGCTGAAAACTAAGCTATAAATCGAAATTATCAGAAGTGCTCATAAATTTATAAGCAACAAAGGTGCACCCTTTTTCATTCCTATGCTTCAGGTGATGGCAACCAGCAATAATTTGTTCTCTTTCATGGCAAATGCAACGATTCCAGTCCCTGGCGACGCTGGCACCGTCACACTAACCGTCTACAATAAAACACACAATCTGCCAATGAGGAGACTTGAAGTCCCATTCGAAGTTCTTTTACAACGAGTAAGAACATAGTATGTGTCTTGGCAATTACTATCTGATGCTGTTCACTTCTCCTAATTGGGGATCTGTCAATCTTACATGATTGGTGTTCTCGGTAACCCTTTGCACTGCATCTGTTGCTGCCACATAGCGCTGAAACATTCCTTATGATATTCCGGTAGCTCATACCAACCATCTTTGCACTGATTGCTTGTGGACCCATCATTGTTATTGGGAAACCTCCTATTCTAGCAAATTAACGCAGAAACACTGTAAACTAAGATATGCAAATGTGACACTGTGAATTTCCCAATCGTTTTACAAATACTGTGGACTTGTCTTTCACTTGATTTAACAGGGTCCACACTTCATTCCACCGGAGTTCAGTTACATGAATCCAACTGAAAATGAAACCTTTCTTCCAAGTAGTCGCAAGGCTGTGGACAACACAGAGGTTTATCAGGCTCTACTTGTTTCTGAAACCGATGTCCCAGATGCCCAGTCAGGATTTACCTTTCAACTGAAACCAAAAAGTTTTGAAACTTGCCCCCAATATTTAGTGGTCGGAAGGTATGAAATCTTCTTTTGGCTCCTAGTGTTATATAAACTTCTGTTGGTATGCGCACAAAACTGTTGGTTTACTCACTAGCATTTACTCGTAAGTTAATCAGGAGCTTCGGGGATCGGAACTGTCAAGGATTGAAAACGTTTAACTTAACTTGATCGCAAACGATCGATTGCAATCAGTCCTGGATGACCTGGCGGCCGCTTATCTCTGTCGCAAACTATTGTAGGATTTCAGTATCTCCCGAGCGACTTTAGCGAGGAGGAACGTGTAGCATATTATGGTTAAGGTTTTGAGGCAATTTAAGGAAGCTGTTCTATACTGGATTAATTTTGTCTTATCGCTGTGCGCTCTACACACAAGGCCAAATAGCAAAGGACTAGGATGACGGCTTGCTCCCATATCGTCACTTGTAGTTGGATTAAAAAGTGATGGGAAATCTGCAGTGGGATGTCCAGCTTAGGTTGCTCTCAATCGAATTTACCAGGATTTTGTGCGTTTGTCCTACACTCTTGAATGTGCTTGAGCTAACTACTTCTGACTGATTTAAAACAGTTTACTGAAGCGTTTGTGGAAGGCAAGAAGTAATTTCGAAACGATGCAGTCACCTAGTTTTCCCAGATGTCAATTCAAAATCGGCTTATATTCCGTTGATAACTGTTACGAAAATTCCACCTTTTACAAGTTGATTTATTCCCTACAATCGCCGACTGTCAATCCGGAGATTCGGTGAAATAGGGCCTACCGTCAGTTTCCATTTTCCTTTCTTTCAAAATGTGCCTTGTGTGAAATTATCAGTAGCATTGGTAACGTGCAATCAGGAATATGCTACAAAGTGATCTAAACATACATCATAGAACACTGATCTCCAACATCTACAAGTTGTCGAAGTAACTACCAAGAGAGTGGTGGGAATGTGGTATATCAAGTACCGTTTTGTCCCTGAAGATCATTCAGACCGCTGTTTTTCTCGACAGTAACTCATTGCATCTTGTGTTCCTCACTTTTTATGGGGTAAAATGACTTGTAACTATGTGTTTGTGTCAGAATTTTATTTTCTAGTAGTCAATAGGATATGGTCCAATCCATGGAAATGACTTCACGCACTTAGAGCACGATACCAAAAGTAGACACCAAAAACTCTCATGCAAAGACCGATCATCAGTTGTGGTCGTGCCAACAGAGGCGATTCGATTGCACTAGTGTGCATGAACACGTGTGCCCTGCATATCCGTTTAACGGTCAATTCGTTGTTGGCACAATTGTGGCTGTCACCAATGTATGCAACACATCACTAAGGCACTGAGACGCACCAGTGGGCTAGGCGTTCTGGTCGAAGTATACATCGTTGGATTGCGACAAATCCACTAAACACGTCATTTCACGACAGCTGAATCACCGCTCGAGCAGCTTATTCCTCATTAGTATGCCAACCGAATTAGGGGGGTGCTTAACGCGATTACGCAGACGCCAGCCGTCCTTGAGATGCCCTTAGGCACACTCTGTCCTTCCACACCTTGGAGACCATGGGAAATTAAGGTTTGAAGCAATGGTTTATGGTGAACAAAAAAGCAAATACTCGACAATTCCCCTAGGGTGGTTAAGATGCTAATTACAAGATAAACACTGTGTGAATAAAATAACGCGCAATTAACACTTCTTATAAATGCGTTTGCAGTGACACAACTGGTAGCATTCCCGCATGAAATTTGGGAGCAGTCTGATACAACCCACTGTCTGCTGAGCGTTAATACTATCATTTAATGGTCAATGGAGCGCGATTTTACCAGTGTGTCGTTAAGTCTACTTTTGTGTAGTGATAAGGACATTGATTATATACGGTAGGTGTGCGTTTTAAGTCCGTGACGCTCGAAGGGAGAAAACGTTTCATCGACATCTCAGTCGGCTATACTGAGTGATCAGCTTAAACTGATGGACCCTCAAAGATGTGTTTTTTCCTGTTTCGGAAATGGTGGTAAGTTTGGTTGGGATATTTTGGGATCTTATAAACCATTATGACATCTCTCCGTGGACGCCGATAACGTCTGCTATACACTTTTAGTGTTAACGGCCTGGGTTTGTGGGGAAGATGCGATACACCTTTGACGTAATGTAATCAGGGACCTTACGCCGGAATACCACCCACACTGCTTGTTTCTGTGGAAAAGCTTTCCAGCTCGCTGGAAGTGATTATTCTACGCACATCCATCGGCGGGTTTCACTCTCCCTGGAAAGTAATTAGTGCTGAACAATGTTATCTACCTTCATCAAATGACTCATACGGCTGACTCAAGCTATACGAGTTCAAAAGGCGAATTTAATGTCTACGGCTTACTAACGCCTCGACAGTAACTGACCGAGTCTAGGATCCTCAGTTCCAGGTACTCAGTGGGCATAAAAGCCGATGACTGAGCCAAAGTACGGTGCCGAACTATGCACCAGTGATGGCTGAACTTTCCACCTGGTGCGCATTTGTTGTGAGTTGAGACAAACTCAAATCAAGAAATTGATTTATCCACCCTAGGCGGGTAAATATTTAGTTACGCTACTCTCATCCATTTCGCCCTTCCTTACATGGCTGGAAGCAATTCAGACTCTACTTGCCTATTTAACACGCGCACATACCAGGCTCCGAAACTACCCAGCATAGTTACTGTGCTTGCTTCAGAGTACGGGATTAGAGCAGCACTCTTGCAACAGTTTCCGGATGCCAGGCAAAATGTGGTCATTCATGTTGCACGCACACTAACAACAATTGAACGGAATTGCGGCCGCATTGAGAAATAAGGTTTAGCAATTGTGTTAGCAGTCAAACAGTTTCATAAGATGTTTCACAGTCGGAAATTCACGTTATGCACTGAGCACATGCCCCTGCTGTCTAGATTTGGTACCAACAAAGAAATTCCGGTTCACACCGGAAAGCACTTGGAACATTGTGCAACTATATTTCTCGGATACGATTTTACCATTAAACACATCCATTTGGAATGCGTTGGCCATGTTGACACCTTATCACGCCTGAGTGCTAACAGATCAAATTCGCAGCCACATGAAGACACGGTCATTTCATCAGTTGAAGTTGATGCTGACATAAAATCCATCTTTGAGGAATCCATACGAAACTTACCAGTTACGTACAATGACATTTGGGAGTCTACGCGATCAGATAGCTGTTTACAACGAATCCTCTTTTAGCTTCGCAACGGTTATCCAAGAATTCTGTGATACGCTGACAGTAAGCCATATTTTGTGTGTAAAAATGCCTTGACAATAATGAACGACTGTTTAATGCTGGCAGATCGCATTGTGATCCCTAAAAACCTTAGGGTAAAAGCGTTTCAAATGCTTCACACAGGACACCAGGGAATTACACGAAGGAAATCACCTGCCCGATGTTATGCTTCTTGGCAAACGATTGCGAAGGATATTAAAGGTGTTGTTTGTAGTTGTTCCAAATATGCAAAGGCTGCAGTGGCTCCCATCAAAGATGCCTTTTTCATCCTTGGACAAAGTGAACTGCCCCCGGTATGTGGATTCATGTGGATTATGCAGGCCCACTGAACAATCAATGTTTTCTGGTTATCGTTGCTTCTTGCCCAAAATGGTCAGCACTAGTTTGTGTCACTGAACCAATGATAGCTTCAACAAGTGCAGCTCTTCGGCGTTATTTTGCACAGTTTGGGTCCCCAGAAACACTCGTCCCTGCTAATGACCCACAATTCACATCGAACGAGTGGAAGCGCTTTTGTCAATGTATGGGTGTACAACATGTATGCAGTCCCATTTATCAGCCCCAGTCCAATGGACAGGCAGAGAGGTTTGTTAGTACGTTCAAACTTGCTCTGTGTAAACATAACGGATATATATATATATATACATATATATATATATATATTTATATATCGCTGCAAACTCGGCTGTATTCTTACGCGTGGATCGTTCAACACCAAATCCTGCTCTCTCTAATCAACAATCACCGTGGGAACTTTTTATTGGTCGACGTTTACGCATATGTTAGATGCTATGTTTATAGCAAAGAAACTAAGGAGCGTGACCAGAAAATGACAGATCAGTTCAATCGTAAGCACGGTACGCGAATAATATATTTTCATCCCGATGACCCAGACTATGTGTCCAACTTCAGGGATGCCCATAAATCTTGGATTCACGGAAGTGTCAAAGCGAGCAAAGCAAATGTCATATATGAAATGGAATGTCAAAACCGACTGACAACATGTCATGTAAATCCCATCATACATCGTTATACACCTGAACAAGTTCAACAAATTGGCACTACATAGCTTCGCTTACTCATTCTTTAGGATAGACTTGCTTTGCTTAAGCCAATGGAACCACAACCAGAGCGACGCTTTGGTGTGAGCACAGAAGTGGAATTTGAACGAAGCTATCCGACACGTACACGCCCCCCGACTCAGTGACAGTGTCGTCCCAAGCAAAAGAACTTATGTGTAACATTCTATGTCTAATTAATTGAGGTTCTTATTTTACAGAGGTCACCTATGTCAACCAGACAGACAGCATGCGAAAATCACTCGATTTCCAGCGAGCGTGTTTGTATGTTAGCTTAGAACATTCAGCCAACCACACGGCACGTGCGCATCGATTGGTTTTGAGTCAGCGTGTGGTAAATGTTTTTGCTTGACATTTGGTTGTAACTTCAGTTATGAGAATAAACGTTTTCAAGCAGTGTTATTTCTACCTTTTTACTACTCAGTGGGTTATAACAATAGTGTAATAATGTCGGGCTGTTTGCATTTGTGATTGTACCAAACTTGGAACCCACTGGGGTTTACCTGCGTATTACTGACATACCAACACTAGCAAGGCGCGGAAGTGAAGCTCTGTGATTTCCTTCAACCCCAGACTAATGGATGTCAAGTACCCTATAATTACTAGGTATAAATCTGATGACGCGTTGAAAAAACGTGTGAGACTTTGGCAGCCTCAGAAAGAAATGTAGCATACCAACGGAGGGCAGTAAAAATAAACCCGTTGACGCATAATCCAACTAACATCCTACAACATTCCCTCTCCTAAATACCTAAATGCATTCCATAAGAGCAGGAAGAGTTGAAGGCTTACTTCGAACTTCACAAGACTAGTCACATGTAATTCTGTCCATTCCCTCCATACAGAATGCTCGAACCACCGATCATTTCACAAGCGGGTGGAAAATACGACTTTTGGACGCTACTGCCTAAAAATACAAAAGAGTGTGGTAAGTATGTCGCTGTGTCCACGAGAATATTTTGTAAATATATCCATGGAGATATGTACAACTTATATTCGATCCCGCTGAACAAAGTTGGTCGAAATCACATGTTCCGCTGGTTGTATGCAAAAAAACGCTCACTTGCTAAGTTAAAATTAACTAAATCCAAACACCAAATTCGACTTAGACCTGCAACGACAGCCAGTTAAATCAGCAATGATGAAGGTGGCAAACCGGAGTTGGTTTCAGTCCGTCAAACTGATATGTGTTTCAGTCTTATCAGAAGCATGAACTTAGCTCCGGATCGAATGAATTTAGTAACGGAGCTGCCTTGTCAATCATAAAGCATTTACTAAACACTGGTCACCGCGTTCTTCCAGATGACTTATTCACCGTCCCGATGCAAAATCAACGGTCCACATTCACAGGCCACTGTAAGCCATTGTCATCTTTCTAGAGCTGCCACTGCTTGGTGTGCAGAGATATGAAGGTACGTCGCAGTGCAGTTTGAGCCGCTTGACCAACGATTGGCTAGCTATTGATCTCATATAACAACCCTTTGAACATCCGTACTTTCGCATGATTGTGCTTGCCGAAATGACTGAGACATCTCACAGTTTACGTCTTCTGATTTTTCTGTTTGACAGGGAATGGTTGTTAATCAATCGGCTTAATTGGCGAAACACTTCCAACCAGCTGTAACTGACAGATTTCATTATATTCATGCACTTTACACTTTTCCCTACCGCTTGCATCCATAGTACAATTGCATTGTTCCATAAGCATCTAATCTGCATCTGCCAGCCAATTGGACCTGATTGTTAACGCATTTGAATCACATCCAGTGTCTTCGCGACGCACTATGCGTGCACTGTCCTAGGATTCAACTAGCCCAAAGCAGCGAATGACAGGATAGTGTGGGTTGATGACGTGTGTTGGAGACTCGTCCATCGCGACGAAACTGGACCTTAACGTGTGTGCCTCAATGATCCATTGAGCTATGCTGGATGGTGATTTTTGCACCTTCGGAGCCACTCACACCAGATTGCACAATGTTTAGAGGCCAGACAAACACAGTATCTTTCACCCTAAGTTTGGGATAAGAGTGTGGGTGGCTCCTTACTCCATAAAACGGACTCTCGGTAGCCAAGTGCTAAACCCCGCTGCTTTGCGGTATGGTGTTTGAAACACAGGATTTGGTTGAAAAGCCTACTCTTTTTCCTGTCTAGGCCTGGACAGCCTGACAGTATCCTGCCCCGGCTATACAACACAATGTCTTTCCCTTTAAACAATCGCTGGGTGCTCTGGTCGTCGCAGCGGATAATAAACGGCGCTGTATCTGCTACCTCGAGATGGTGGATAAGGGTTTACTACTACTGCTCAAGCCTTTTGACCTTCTTATCCTCCTTCTTGCGCATTTTTTATCCTTATCGCCCCGCACTAACTTCAATTTTATCTCTCCTGTTTTCAATTCCTCAATGGTTGGCCATCCCCTAACTTGCCTCAATAGCCACTTCTCTTCGCAATCGCAGGGCGTCGCTCCAGTCTAGTCGGCAAGTCCATGTACAACCAAGCGGACAACGTCAGTTCACCCGTTTCTCCTCGGAGTCCTCGGTCATCGCCAACTGACATGCCTCAAGGCGCACACTTTGTTGCAGATTGGCCTACTTGTCCGAACACTCGAGACCCTATCGATCGACCTTCGCTGTTTATCGGAGACCCCCTCCACCCTTACCCTGCGATCCCCCACATACGACACGGGCGGCACATTCTCATTACGCCTGTCTGGCGATGACACAACTTCAAGTGCCCGTCAAACCTGCGTGGACATTGTTTTGGGTTCCCGGGCTGAAGTTGGCCTCATCGATTAGGTTCCAGTCGACATCAGGAGGTACGCCGTTAGATAAGCTGGATCATCCCAGACTTCGAAGTCGCGCGGGGACAAACGGTGCTTGTTTGTCATTGAACTCTACGTGCCCACAAATTGTGGCACTGATTCAGTGAAAGATGATCTCTTTCACCTCTCACCTTCTCACCTTTACAAAAATGGATGGATACTGTGGCGCTTGCAGGTGATCTAAACGCCCAACTCAGAAAATTTTTTGATGAGCTTCATCTGGTCGGCCAACATGGTGTGGGCACTCGTAATGATCATCATCATCATCATCATCATCATCACCACCACCACCATCATCATCATCATCATTATCATCATCATCATCATCATCATCATCATCATCATCATCATCATCATCATCATCATCATCATCATCATCATAATTATCCATATTCGCTAGAGGTGGGAAACACCTCAGCTACTGTGTCGCAATACATAGAAGAAAAAAGGGGAAAAATATGCACCAGGTGCATGCCGGCTGAGCTACCAGTAATGGATGGACATCCTTCCGGAAAGCTATCAGCAGGCTAATATGCAACAAATAATTATTATGTAAAATTATATTACGCCACAAAATGAGGTCGTGGTTGGAGGGGATGGGCAAAGAAACTCACCGTAGGAACGCCACTGAGGGCAAGTCCTAGCCATGTCAGCAAGTGTATCCAACCAACCGTGTTCATCGTCCTCTGGACTCCAACCAGGGAGCCGAGACGCTCCAACCGAGGCCAGCTTCGAAGTGAGGGTCTGCATTCCTCTCGACCAAGTCATACCTTGGCCACTATTCCTCTTCCATCCACACCTCCGGCGAGCCTACATCGCAAGTCACGTGAGACGGTGCACTGGCATGAGTAACATGTGGCCGAGCCATCGGAGCCTGGTGCGTGAAATAACAGTGTTGAGAGGTTCATTAACTTTTGCTGTGTCGTAAACAAGGCGTCGAACACGCTCGTTGTTTACTCGATGTCCCCACCAGATGTGAGCTAAATTGGGAAGGCACCGGTGGTCGAACTTAACTAGCCTCTTAAGGCCAGCTGATCTAAGGGGCCAGATTTCACAACCGTACAGTAGGATCGAACCTACCGCTGCATTGTAAATTCTATCCTTCAGGGCGAGAGTGATGTCGTGCCAGCACCATAGGGTGCGAAGGCTAGTAAAAGCACCTCGAGCTTTTGCCATACGGTTCGTGATCTCATCTTCACTCCCACGGGCTGTGATACAACTTCCCAGGTAGTTGAATTTTTGAACGACTTCTAGCTGATCCCCACCAAAGAGTCTGTGCAGGAGGAGATCCAGGCCAATCTTGGAGTGACGCTTTGCACTTCGAGGGTGCGACGCAATGCTCGAATTAACGGACAGCTAGTGCTAATCTGTCCAGTGCCGCTTGGCACGTTTGTGAACTGTCGCAGATTCGAGCAACATCGTCAGCATAGTCCAAGTCAAGAAATCGTTTCCATGGAAGTAGCTCCACACGTTCTACGTCGTGTCCTGTGAACGTGATTTCTATGACTGCGTCAATAGCCAAGTTGAAGAGGAAAGGTGACAACGAGCATCCTTGTCTCACACCGCTGGAGATACTGAAGGGCGACGTCAGCTTGCCGTAAGCCCTCACACTGCCCGCGCAACGCGAGTATAGTGCTCGGCTAATATTTACCTATGACTCGGGTTTTCGTACTGAAAACCTTGAGCGGTTGTTACACCTGTGTGAAGATGCTCGCCTGTTTCTCGCAAGCACTAATTTCCGACACCGCGCTCGAAGAAGAGTGACTTGGCACCCACTAGCCTCGGACAAGCTATGGACACAAATGGATCGCATTGCGATCAGTTGCCGCTGGAGAAGCTGCTTCCAAAACTGTCGCTCAATTTGGACCACGAGCAAGGACTATGACCGCGCATTTGGTTGCGCCGACCTCCGGCTGCTTTTCGGCGGACGTACGTCCGCAACGTTGCTGTGATCGCATTCACAATAGCCCATTGGCGAAGCCAGGTGTTCTGAATGCGTATCAAAGTGTTCTGGTATGCGGGAGGAGTAAGCGCCCACTGTGGGATTGAAGATGTGGTCACAAACCCTATGGCGGACATTCGAGGAGCTTCTGCCACTCTCCGCCACTCGTGGCACCCTGAAGGGCAGAGTTTACAATACAACCGTCCGTTCAACCCTCTTTTACGGTTTGGAAGCCTGGCCAATCAGTTCGAGACATAAAGAGGCTAGCTACGTTCGACCATCGCTACCTTCACAGTTTAACTAATGTTCGCCGTCGTTTAAATAGTGAAGGAAAAGTAAGTGAACCGCGCAGCACCATTATATCATGCACCAGGCGCCAATGGCTGGACCACGTGTTGCGTATGCCAGCACACCGACTCCCGTGACTTGCTTTGTTTGCGCGCCAGTGGTCTGGTTGAAAGAGAAGGACGGGAGATAAAACAACGACTTGGCCGAGAGGAATGAAAACCTTTACTTTGAATTTGGCGTCGGTTAGTGCATCCCGACCGTCGTAACGAGACTGGACCTCAACTTGGTGCGACGGTTTGCGTACCTCCTTGACCCACTGGCCTATACTTGGTGGTGCCGACGGGCCCCCTGAGAGCTACTCCTACCAGCTTGGTTAACGCGTAGATATCAAACTCAGTCTCATGGTCCGCCAGGTTAGGGTTTTGAAATGATATGGCGTCCTTTAAAACTAAATCATTGCCATCTCCCCGTTGCTTTGCGGACAGGTTTTTGAGCCAAAGGCTTTACTTGTGGACCCTAATCCTTCTCATGTCTAGGTCTGGGCGCGCTGGCAGTATCTCAGTTCATATGCAACCATGTCAATTTCCCCAAACTCTGACTGCATCCTGCATCGGCCGTCGCGCATATTATCAAAGTTCGACTTTTCTCCTGCATACAGCAGGGCGGATAAGCGAAAACATACTACTGCTGGCGTTTCCCTTCTTCCTTTTCCACCTGTTTCTCTTATTTCCATCCCTTCTCCCATTACTAACCTTCCTTCTATAAGTCCCAGCTTAATTGACAGCAATCGAAGTGTCACTGGAATAGGACCATGTGCAGCCACCATCCCACAGCACCTATCGGAAGCCAATTGGCAAAAGTCCCTTATAAGACCACGCTATCCCGTTTCCACGGCGACGTTCAACGTTTGCACTCTAAGACAGACAGATCAAAAGGTTGCACTGGCACTTAGGGTGAACACACTG